ATACCAGTGAATACCTTTGAGTGTAGTCCAATTTTGAATTACACTAGAGTTCACCTTTAAGAAACAATGAACCTGCTTTTAAGTAAAACCCTGTATTAATAAGACATGGAATGTGATTACAAAGAAAGATATTATCAACTGAACTATATCTAAATATTTTACAAAGTTTTCCATGAGCCATCAGGAGATCTTTAAAATGCATAATCTTTTTAAAACCTTGTTCCTCATTCATTTGTAAAGAGCTAGCTTTTTATGTGTATGCCAAGCATAAAATTGCCATATGCTATATTTAACACAAACTTCACATTATAGAGTTATATGTTCTTGCATTTCAACATAATTATGAAAGTGATTCCAAGGCTAAAAACACACCTAGAATAATCTGCCTTCTGCTGGATTTAAGTACTTGAAGAAAGCCTGAGAAACATACAAAAATTAGGTCCATACTTTAAAGCTGCAGGCAATCAAGTCAGGAAAATAAATGGAAGCTGTGTAATCTCATTCACTTGCAGAACCATTTAAACTATTTTTTAGTTGTAATTATTAACAGTTTCTTATGACTATAATCTTTACAAAAATATCTTCTACCTCAAAAATTAAATGCACATGTTCATGAACATTTTTGTTTACTTATATGTAGGTACTAGCTATGCCAGATTAAAATTTTTCTTCCTCTTTTCCAGTTCTGCACTCATTTGTTTTAATTTCTGTACATTATATCCACAGTAATTCTGTATTACTTATCCAAATAATAGCTAGAAATTTAATCTTCAAAGTTACAACACTTTGAAGTAATGCAAAGTTTGAGAAAGAAAACATAAAAAAAGAGCCATTTTAGGAACACAAGTGTTCTCCCAAAGAAATATACTACCTTTTCATGTGATATTCAAGAATGGTTAATCCCCTTCCAAATGTTACATAAATAAAGATTCTCAACATTATAAATTAGTATGTACAACTTCTAACAGAGCACAATTAGTAAAATGTGTTGCTCAAGGTCAGAAATATGTTAGAGTAAAACAGCTTTGGTAACCTAAGATTCCTATATTCTCCTATAAGTGTTGTCCCATGAGACCTATACTCAAACCTTTACCTACAACATGCTAACACAGATCATCATCACAGAGCAGAAATCATGTAGAGCAGAACTTCAAACTTAGGGAACTGATTAAGCAGAAGACAAGCAAACCTAAATGTGACCATAATATATGAATTAAAATTTTCAAGAAATTGGTTCATCCATCATACTTTTTCCTAACATCACTAAGGTAGCATAGTCATGGATCATGGTCCAAACTAGGTCCAGCATAAACTCCAGACTCTAGCCTAAAAATAACTAAAATAAAAAGAGTATGGCTCAAGTAGTGAAGTGCCTACCTAATAAGAGGAAGGCTCTGATCTGGGCACCAGTGGCTCACGCCTGTAATCCTAGCTACTCAGGAGGCTGAGATCTGAGGATCAGGTTCAAAGCCAGCCCCAGCACAAAAGTCCGTGAGACTCATCTCCAATAAACCACTCAGAAAACCAGAAGTGACGCTGTGGCTCAAGTGGTAGAGCGACAGCCTTGAGCTGAAGAGCTGAGGGACAGCACCCAGGCCCAGAGTTCAAGCCCATGATTGACCAAAACAAAAACAACAACAACAAAAAAAACAGTAAGGCTGTGAGTTCAACCCTCAGTACCACCAAAAGAAAGAAAGAGAGGCCTGGGAAGATGGTTTGGTGGTAGAGTGCTTGCCTAGCATACATAAAGTCCTGGGTTCAATTCCTCAGTACCACATAAACAGAAAAGGCCAGAAGTAGCGCTATGGCTCAAGGTAGAATGTCACGGACAGTGCCTAGGATCTAAGTTCAAGCCCCACAACTGGCAAAAAGAGAAAAAAAGAAAAAGGAGAAGGAAGAGGAGGAGGAGAAAGAGGAGGAGTAGGTGGAGGAGGAGAAGGTGGAGGAGGAGGAGAAGGTAGAGGAGGAGGAAGAAGAGGAGAAAGGAGGAAAGAAAAGAAAAGGCAAAAGAAGGGGGGGATATTATTCTTCAACTACAATGTCCATGCAAAAACAAAAAAAATCTGGTAAACAGAACATATAAGAATAAAATTTCTGGCCAACACTTACATAGTTACATCATTTTTTACCAAAAGAGAAAAAAAATGGAACATGGAAAGAAATCAGCATTCATCATAAGCTTACTAGAACAGGTAGTGTGCCAAGTGCTAATTTTTTTTAACATTCTCTTATAAAGTAATTACAAACCAATATATTCAAACATCAAATGAGTTAAATACAAACTCTAAGAATCCTCAGCTGAGCCCATTGGGCTATGTGCTCCATCCTTCACATTTACTACTGCTATGTATAGAGTGCAAGAAGTCACAGCACAGATTTAAATTACCCAAGCATATAAGAAAACATATCCAAGGGCATGTACGTGTGTACACACACAAACATATTGACTAAAAGATGGCATATGCAGGGGAGGATTTCAGTGGCTTAACTCTTTTGAACAACTAACTTAACAAAATTAATAGCAGGAAGATGAAATACGTTTTATCAGAAGGGAGTGAAGTCAAGGGGTATTGTGGCAGATGAATGAAAAAAAAGGGGTAGATGAATGTAGTCATAGTATTCAGTGTACACATGTGAAAATGGAATCAGGTCTCTTGAGAGGATAGGTTGCATTGGGACATATGTGGGGAAACATGAAAAGTGACTGATCAAAATGCATTGTACTCATAAACTGGATGCTGAGTTGAAACCCCCATAAACAATTACTTAAAGCTAATTTTTTAAATGGGGGGGGAAGTAACTATTATTATACCTCACTGGAATACTCTTTTCAAGAGGTTAGGTTTGATATCCAAAAACTCAATTCTTCTATAAGAATTATTACAAATTTCACTAAACACGTATGACTTGGATTGCCAAAACCAAAGACTCAAGAACTTGAACTATGACTGAAAGACTTAAACTTTTTCAATGTCCACTTAAAAAAAAAAATGAAGAAGAACAGGAAAGTTAGAAATGAGATTCCAGGGGCTGGGAAGTTGGCTCAGTGGTAGAGCGCTTGCCTTGCATGACTGAGGCCCTGGATTCGATTCCTCAGCACCACATAACCAAAAAGAAAAAAGCAAGAAGTGGCGCTGTGGCTCAAGTGGTAGAGCGCTAGCCTTGAGCTGAAGAGCTGAGGGACAGCACCCAGGCCCAGAGTTCAGGCCCCACGACTGGACCGCCCCCCCCAAAAAAAGAAATGAGATTCCATTATGTATTTTCACTGGGCAAATACTCATTAAATCTATAGCAAAATAGTCACTTCAGGCAAAACACATACTTTTCCAGAAAAAGGAAGCTGTTATGAAAATGTCTGTATGTTCAAGGCAAAATATCTTAGTCGTACACATTTGAAAAGAGAGAAAAAATATCTGATAACATTAGTGTAAGTGGAACAAGACTGTGAGCAATTTTATACTTACATTTCTGATATAAACTTACTGGCTTTAATATGTAATAAAAACTCTAAAAAACATGGAACAAAGAGTTAACAAATGCAGCAGTAATACTCACTAGCTACTATGTAGAAAATGAACTATATAACTTGTGGGTAGGGATGGGAGGGGAAAAAATGGAGAGAGTGAAAGAGATGACATTGTCCAAAAGGAAATATACACATTACCTGACTTAAACCTCTCTGTACACTAACAATAAAAAAATTTTTTTGACTCTAAAAAACAACTCTAAAGCCAGATGCTGGTGGCTCACGCCTGTAATCCTAGCTACTCAGGAGGCTGAGATCTGAAGACTGCGGTTCAAAGTCAGCCCGGGCATGAAAGTCTGTGAGACTCTTATATCCAATAAACCATTCAGAAAACCAGAAGTGGCACTGTGGCTCAAGTGGTAAAGCACTCGCCTTAAGCTGAAGAGCTGAGGGACAGCGCTTAGGCCCAGAGTTTAAGCCCCACAAAACCAAAACAAATAAACGAACAAATAAAACAAAACTCTAATGGGACCAGGAATGTGACTTAGTGGTTGAGTACTTGCCTAGTATGCATGAAGTCCTAGGTTTGATTCCTCAGTACCACATACACAGAAAAGGCTGGAAAGGGTGTTGTGGCTCAAGTGGTAGAGTACTAGCCTTTTAGCAAAAGAAGCTCAGGGAGAGCGTCTAGGCCCTGAAATCGAGCCCAGGACAGGCACCAAAAAAAAAAAAAAACCTCTAATGAGTAAGCAAAATATGAAAAATGTTTATAGAAATGTTAAATCAAAACAACAGGATAAACAACTTCATGATAATATATTTTGTGTGGACATAAAATTGCAAATGTGAAGACTGTTGATTTGAGAGATAACTGATTTCTGGATAAATGCTTCTTTTTTGATTAAGAAGTATTTCAAGCTGGGCATCTGTGGCTTACACCTGCAATCCTAAGGACTCAGGAAGCTGAGATCTGAGGATCTCAGTTCAAAGTCAGCCTGGCCAGGAAAGTCCGTGAGACTTTTATCTCCAATTAACCTCCAAAAAGCGGAAGTGGAGATGGGGCTCAAGTGATAGAGTACTGGTCTTGAGCAAAAAAAGCTGAAGGACAGTACCTAGGCCCTGAGTTCAAGCCTCAGTAATAGCACAAACACACAAAAAAAGTTATTTAAATGAAAATGACAACTTTAAAAATGTTATCAGTATGTGCATAAAATGATGCTCAGTCTATAGTAGTCTAACTGCATTTTTGTTATTGTTATGTTGGTTTTTCTTTTTTGCAATGCTAGATATCAAACCCAGGGCACTGAGCATGCTACTAAGCAAGCATTGAACAACTAAGTTACATGTTCATCCCAGTTTAGCCATTTAACATTGTGAGCATTTGTGTCTTCATTTTTTAAGTTATTCAGGAAAACAAACATGAATACTTCCTTACATCCTCCACAGTACTTCACACAGCATCTAGGTCCCTGACAAACCCAGTCACTATCACTGATGAACACCAAGTACAGACAACACAAAATTGAGAACTTACTGTTATTTGTTGGTTCAGGAAACCCAGCCTTTGGACCACTCCATCCTTTGTTTTCCCCTGTCTGAAAAATTAAATCAACAATTTTAACACAGGTAAACAGGCTTATTCAAAAAACACATAAACACTGAATAATTAAGTAAGGGCAAAGATTTTTAAAAAGAAATAGTGGTACAAGGGTTTGAACTCAGTACCTTGAGCTTAAGGCAGGTACTACACCATTTGAGTCATGCTTCCAGACCTTTTTTTGTATCTGTGTGCCTGTCCTGGGGTGAAGTACTATCCTTGAACTTTTTTGCTCAAGGCTAGCACTCTACCCGTTGAGCCACAGCTCCACTTCTGGCTTTTTGGTGGTTAATCGGAAATAAAAATCTCAAGGATTTTCCTGTCCCAGCTGGCTTTAAATCACAATCCTCAGATCTCAACCTCCTGAGTAGTTAGGACTGGTGCCCAGCTCTTTTTTTTTGCTGGGGGGGGGGTAGATTATGTGTTTTCTTTTATTTTACAGATAGGGTCTCAGACTTTGTCCTTTAGGTGTAATCTCAGACTGTTTACTCTCCTACCTATGTCTCTCAAGTAGCTGGGATTATGTATGTACACCACCATTTTCATTCAAGCCAAGGGCAAAGATTTCTCACACAATTATTGGGTATTCTCTCAAAATCTGACTAATACAACAGCTACAAACAAAAAAGGTGAACAGTATCATTTATCCTTTTCCACACTCAAATTTGTTTCCTGTTTCTATTTATCTGAGGCTTCTCTTTTACATTTATAATTTTGGGGAGGAGGGTTAGTCGTGGGGCTTGAACTTAGGGCCTAGTTGCTGTCCCTAAGCTGTTTTGCTTAAGACTAACACTCTACCACTTTGAACCACAGCACCACTTCCAGGTATCTGGTGGTTAATTAGAGGTAAGAGTCTTACAGGCTTTCCTGCCCAGGCTGGCTTTGAACTGTGACCCTCAGACCTCAGCTTCCTGAGTTCCTAAAATTACAGGTGTAAGCCACCAGCACGCTACTTACATTTATAATTTAAGGCAAAAAAAAAAAAAAAACCCTTACATTCAGTATATGTTTTACACAGAAAATGAGATCAAGGTTTTTGTTAAAAGAGTAATTTCTTTCTAGACAGTAAAAATAATCAACAGAAGTACTGAAGTGTCTAAAAGAGCCTCATCAATCTTAAGATCACATTAACAATAGAAATGTTATATGTCCATTTGGAATGGACAAACATATCCTATGATGAGTATCACCATAATTTTAATTCTAGCAACTGGTTTAACAGTATTCCTTAACATTTTTTTTCATTTGTGTCTATTTTTACTATACATGTTAAGAATGACTGAAAGATAAAATGACATACAGCAGTAAAACAGAAAATAAAAATCATGAAAAATAAGTTGGCAATAAGTGTGCAATAGCTTTTTGTGTGATCAGACAGCATCTTCCTTCCTTCAATAATCCTATCTTGCATCTGTAAACTAAGATACATCTGTATGCATGCTGGGGCAGCAGTTCGGTAAATAAACTTCTTTTCCTGCCTGAATAGCGTGTGGTGTTCTCTTCATGGGCTACCTAATGAAACCTACCTATTTAATATACCTTACATTACCAACTTGGGAAGATGAGAGAAGAAGGTTCAAGGCCATCTTTAAATAACCAGCAAAAACCAAGGCTGGAGACATGGTTCAAGTGTCAAATTGCCATCCTAACAAGCTCAAGGCTTTGAGTACAAACTCCAGTGCTGGAGGGGTAATCCCACAATATCTTGTGTTCCTTTACCCTTACCACATGAGAAATCACTGCTGCAACCTGTGACTGAAAAATATTAACAGTGGCATTCTCACAAAGCGGAAAGTACTATACAACATAACAGACTGACAGCAGTAAATACCAATGGCTGACACTAAGACAAAATGTGGTTGATACTATGCTGTTTTACCTGGATATATGAAAATCATCTCATTTTAATCTTTACACAAATCTAATAAGTGATATTAACATTCTACTTTTATAGAGAAGCAAACTGGGGTTAGAGAGGTTTATTAATTAGTGTGTAGTCATATAGCTAGCATGCAGTCTTACTAAAACTGTACTATAATACTAAGTTAGACACTAACCATGCTAGAACCTTTCTGTTCATTTTACAAATAGGGTGCAGTCATTTCTAGTTTATAGTAGTTCCTCCTTTGAAACAGGTGTTTAAGGGTATCCTATGTCCCTGAGAAAGGCTTTTATATGATTTGGAGTCCTCTTTCCATTTCAAAACCAAATAAATTGTGGAATCTCTTTTTGAAGCAGTATATTTTGACTTACATGTAGGTTTTGGATGTGTGTGTGTGTGTGTGTGTGTGTGTATGTGTGTGTTTGTATATGTGTGTGAAGTAGATCCTTATTATATTGCCCAGGCTGGCCCAGTACTCATGAGCTCAAACAATGCACTTGCCTCATCCTCTCAAGTTACTGAGACTATAGACATACCATGACAACTGCTTTGTATCTAGGCTCTGATCAATGAGTCAATAACATTAAACCACCTTGTGAAACTTAAGGGAAGCTTGTATTCTAAAGAATCCTTTGTATTTTCTTGTTGAAGGAGCTTTTCCATGTCAGTTGTCTTCTACACAAAATCAGTATTTGCTTTTCAGATGCCTGGTTCTTCTGTGATTAAAGAACCTTGAAAACTACTATATAAATGAACTAGATTTAGAAAAGTTCTATGCATTTAAGAAAGGAAAGACAAACAGTGGGATGAAGAAGATAGCTTGGAACTAATAAAAAGAGCAATCAAAGCTGGAGGCCAGTGGCTCACACCTACAATCCCAGCTACTCAGGAGGATGAGATCTGGGCTCATAGCTCAAAGCCAGGCCAGGCAGGAAAGTCTATGAGACTCTTATCTCCAAATAGCTAGCAAAAAACATAGAAGTGGAACTGTGGCTCAAGTGGTAGAGCAGTAGTAGCCTTGAGCAAAAAAGATCAGGGACAGTAGCCAGGCCCTGAGGTCAATCCCCAGGACCAGCACGCACGTGCGCGCGCGCGCGCACACACACACACACACACACACACACACACACACACACACACACACACTAACTTCCAACCATCTCTGTAACATGATCCTTTCCTTTTTACAGTGAGTAGAAGAATGGAAGAAGAACAAAGTTTGTAAATGCAAGGAACATGCTAAGGAACATGCTGCAGGAGGGAGACTCTCCTGGGTATGTTCTCTATGAAACAGAAATGTATCCCAGAATTCACAAGCTCACTGAGGCAGGCTGTGAATCTGAGGAATGTGAGTACTGTGAGGAACAAGTCACCTTAGGGAGGGGAAGTACAAGAGAATGTCAGAGTGCATAGTCCTAAGCATTAGACTGCTCCACTGAAGTGTAAATATTGCCATTTCTCCTTTCACAATTCTTTTCTCTCTACTAATGACTATACTTGCTAGAATATTAAATTATACTTCCTTTAACTAATTTTTCATCTTCAATTGAATCCTAGGCCTACTGCTTTCTCATTTCTACTCAAACAGTGCTAGCAAACTAAAACACTCAAAAAAGATCAAACTAATAATACATGTAATAATGGTAATAAAGTAACTGAACCTAAAAAGCACTATGCCAATCAGGTACCAATGGCTCACACCCATAACCCTAGCCACTCAGGAGGTTGAAAAATGAGGGTCAAGTTTCAAAGCCAGCCTGAGCAGACAAATCTGGGAGATACTTAATAATCATCCAAAAAAAAAAAAATGTCGGTAGTGAAGGTATGGCTCAAATGATAGAATGTAAGTTGTGAGTGGAAAGAGCCAATCAAGAGCACCAGTTCAAGCCCTACCCAGCACACACACTCACATACACAAAATATTTTACCAAACAGAAAGAAATCAAACCAAAGACTATGTAATGTGTGATTTATTTATTCTATATGATACTCTGGAAAAGGTAAAAAGAAAGAGATCAGATGGAAGCTTGCTAGGGAAAGAAGAAAGGAAGCTGTACAGAGGGGCATTACAGAACTCTTCTGGAGTCAAACATATAGTAGGAATCTTACTGGTGTGGTACTTAGTGAGTAAATACAATGTTTCAAAATTCAAAGAACAGGTCAGATTTTTTTTATTATGGGAGTACATTATTAGTGTGTAATTACAGAATAGCTCAGTAAGGAGATATAGATATTTATATTTATATTGTGCAGGACCTGGAGTTTGAACTCAGAGACTAGGCATGGTCCCTGAGATGCTTTTTTTTCTTTCCTTTCCATCCTAGGGCTTGAAATCCTGGGCACTGTCCCTGAGCTTCTTTTTGCTCAAGGCTAGCCCTCTACCACTTGAGCCACAGCACCACTTCCAGCCTTTTCTGTTTATGTACTGGGGAATCAAACCCAGATCTTCATGCATGCTAGGGAAGCACTCTATCACTTTTTTTTTTTTTTGTAGCACAACACTAGTACTCTACCACTTGAGCCACAGCTCCACTTTCAACTTTTTTGTTGAGTAGAGATAAGAATCTTCCCATGTAAGTGTAATCCCTCTGTACAGTATTTTCACAATTTAAAAAAATAAAAAGAAATCTCATGGACTTTCCTGACCAGGTGGTTTTCAACCACGACCCAGCCTTCTACATGGCTAGGATTGTAAGTGTGAGCACCAATACCTGGCCAGAATATATATTTTATTCTTATTTATCAAGCCTTACTGAACAGTCATTGTGTTTCAGACACTACCAATACAAGTATTAACTCATTGCAGTCCTCCAATGCAAAGCCCCAATCCCAAATCCTAATACATGTATTATTAGTTTGATCTTTTTTGAGTGCTTTAGCCTTGCCAGCACTGGGTTGTTTGGTTTGAGGCTTTTCTAAATTAAGTAGTTAGAAACATTTATGTGAAAAACATTACATGCGAGAAGCCTTTGTGAATACAGACTGATAAGGTGAGGTAGGTCTAGCATTTTATGCATTTTATAAAATGCACAAGACATTATGTCTTGTCTATTTCATAAGAAAAGAACATATTGTATATTGATTTTGCAGGTTTTGACTTAAAAAAAAATAATGCTGGGGCATGAACCCAAGACCTTGTACAAGATAGATCAGTGATCTACCACTGAGCTACAGCCCAGCCCTGAAGGTTTAAAAAACTAATTTGTCACACTCACCAAAGGTTATTTTTTTACTGGAAAGTATGTCGTCTTTCTCCCCTCCCCCAACCTTTCATCTCTGTCTCTATAACTCTGTGTGTGTGTGTGTGTGTGTGTGTGTGTGTGTGTGTGTGTGTACACACATCATGTTAGTTCTGTTTCTCTGGAGAGCCCTCACTAATTCAGTGGGTATGGAAAAATATTTTTCAAATTAATAAAAATTAATGCTGTTTCTGTTGTGTTTTCTTTCTCTTAATTTTCAAATAAGTGTCAATGAGATATTTATTTTGGTGTATTTTTATAAACCACAACCAGTTTTAATCAATATAAATGTGTTGTTAAAACAATATATATACACAGTAAGAGCTATAGAAACTTGAACATATGTTAGGTTTCATGTTACAAATACTTTTAAAAGAAGAAAATGCATTGGACAAGCCAGGTAACAAAAACTGAATTGAAACCTCTAGCAATACCACATAAATGGTATTTTAATCACTGAAAAAAATGCTATCTAAGAAGAGTATAACTAAATGCCTACTAACTTTGCCTCTTTCGGAATGTGTTCTGTAGAAGCTAAAGATATAGCTGAAGCAGAATCCTTAGACAAGAGAAGCCTGACCAAAGCACATTGAGTTTTTAAGAGTAATTAGTTTTACAAGCGTACTTTTTTTTCTTGTTACATAAGATGCTTAACAGATAAAAATTTCCATGTGTGCATAGATAATGAAATGATAACATAACATAAAATTAAGCCAGTTCTTGCCAAAGTTCTGCCAGGTCCTGAGTTTAGGGGCCTCTGTTTCTTTTGCAGCAGAGGAAGGGTGTTAATAATGTAATGAATTACAGAAGAAATGAGACTATGAACACAGGCCTTGGCAGAAAACAAATACCCTCTGAATTTATCTTTAAATTTAACATAAACAAAAAAATTAGTTTATAGAGTGTCTGTCTAATATAGTTCCTACTCTAAAGGGGTAGTCAAAATTTTTATTTTGTGTTTTCAGCTGCATTAAAAAAAAAAAAGCCAGGTGCCAGTGGCTCACTCCTGTAGTCCTAGCTACTCAAGTGGCTAAGATCAGAGGATGATGGTTCAAAGCCAGCCAGGGCAAGAAAGTTCGTGAGGCTCTTGATCTCTAGTTAACCACCAGAAAACCAGAAGTGGCGCTATGGCTCAAGTAGTAGAGTGCTAGCCTTGAGCTGAAGAGCTGAGGGACAGCTCCCAGGCCCAGAGTTCAAGCCCCACGACCAACAGAAAGAAAAAAAAAAGTAGCTTCTCTTCTAACAACCTCTGGTTTTATTTGATTTTTTAATTTTATTGTCAAGGTGATGTACAGAAAGATTAAAGTTACATAAGTCAGGCAGTGAGTATATTTCTTGTTGAACTTGTTAGCCCCTCCCTCATTTTTCTCCCATTTTCCCTCTCCTTCCTACTCCCCAGTTATACAGATCATTTCCAACATATTGTCTTGTGAGTATCACTCTTGCATTGGTTCCTCCTTTGTCCTTTGCCTCACTATTTTGTTGTTATCCTTGCCTTCCCTAATTCAGATAAATGTATAATACAATATCCAGGGTACCAAAATCAAATACAGTGATAATAGGGGATAAACCATAGGGGGGAAAAACAATACAAAAGAAACAAGTTTGCTGGAAGAGATGTGACCAAAAGGGAACACTACTACACTGTTGGTGGGAGTGTAAACTTGTTCCACCACTCTGGAAAGCCAGTATGGTGGTTCCTCAAAAGATTAAACATAGAGCTCTCCTATGACCCAGCAATCCCATTTCTAGGCATTTATCCAAATGACCACAACAAACAAAGCCATAGTTAAGCTACCAGCACAACTATGTTTACTGCAGTATTATTTACCATAGCTAAGATATGGAACCAACCAAGATGCTCCTCAGTAGATGAATGGATCAAGAAAATGTGGTGGGCTGGGAAGGTGGCTCAGTGCTAGAGCACTTGCCTTGCATGCCTGAGGCCCTGGGTTCAATTCCTCAGCACCACATAAGCAAAAAGAAAAAAGCCGGAAGTGGCACTGTCACTCAAGTGGTAGAGCGCTAGCCTTGAGCTGAAGAGCTGAGGGACAGTGCCCAGGCCCAGAGTTCAGGCCCCACGACCGGACCCAAAAAAAAAAAAATAAAAAAAAAAAAAAGAAAATGTGGTATATATACACAATGGAATTCTATGCTTCCATCAGAAAGAATGACACCACCCCATTTGTAAGGAAATGGAAAGACTTAGGAAAAAATCATATTAAGTCCCATGGTTTCCCTCATTTGTAATAATTAGTATATGTCTAGAATAATCCTAGCAGATGAGCAGAACAGCTCAATAGCTCTGTATATATAACCATATAAGATGATGCTAAGCGAAATAAATTCCAAGACATAGACACAAGAGGTTTTCCTTTGTTGTTGTTTTCAACCTCTGTTTTTTAAAAGACACAAGACTACATCAAAAACAAATAACAAAAACAAATGACTAGCAAAATACAATTGGTCAGGAAGTTAAAACATTTTTTTTTTTTTGTCAGTCATGAGGCTTGAACTCTGGGCCTGAACGCTGTCCCTCCGCTCTTTAGCTCAAGGCTAGCGCTCTACCACTTGAGCCACTGCACCACTTCTGTTTTTCTGAGTGGTTTATTGGAGTGTAAGAGTCTCATGGACTTTCCTGCCTGGGCTGACTTTGAACTGCAATCTTCAGATCTCAGCCTCCTGAGTAGCTAGGATTACAGGCATTAGCCACCAGTGCCTGGCTTAGTTGAAACATTTCCTATACATATTACCCTATATAAATTTTAGTATTTGCTAATTTTAAAATTACAATTACTAGTATTTCATCTCACTCCTTAAGTAAATGTTGTCCTGGACCTGTGATATCTATCTTATATGAAGACAGGAATACTGCCTCAAAAAGTTAAAATTGATGTCTACTTCAAATCCTAGCAAAGATTAGAATTTGTTATCCATTTTAATATTGTGAAGGAATGCACACATACACATAAACTTCATGCTTACCTTGTCAAGCTGATCTTGAAGACTAGTTGATGCTTTATAGCCCAGCTGTAACAGCATTGCTTCCGCAGCATTCTTTTTGGCTATCTTTTTATTAGGTCCTGTTCCAGTAGCAACTTCATTGCCTACTTTGACCTGAGTAGGTAAGAGAAAGAAATTAATTAGAGTTATTTTGGTAAACAAGAAGTCCTTATATTGTTAAGTAACTGATTGTATTCTTTAGCATTCAAAAATATAAAATGTAAACTGGGCACCAGCAGCTCATGCCTGTAATCCTAGCTAAGGATTAGAGAAAGCTAATATCTGAGGATCATGGTTCAAAGCCAGCCTGGACAGGAAAAATCCAAAAGGCTCTTATCTCCAATTAATCACAGAAAAAGCCAAAAATGGTACTATGGCTCAAGTGGTAAGAGTTCTAGCCTTGAGGAAAAGAAACCCAGGGTCAGGACCTAGGCCCTGAGATCAAGCCCCAGGACCAGCCAAAAGTAAGTGTGTGTGTGTGTGTGTGTGTCAAGCCCCAGGACCAGACAAAAGTGTGTGTGTGTGTGTCAAGCCCCAGGACCAGCCAAAAGTGTGTGCGTGTGTGTGTCCACAATTTCCACAGAATAAACATAACCAATAGGACGATAGCTATTAAAGAAATTAAAAATGTAACTTATTTTAAAACATCTTTCCATAAAGAAAATTCCTGAGTTTCTCCAGGAAATTATACATACTACTTAAGAATTATGCTAATATTACATAAATTCATCTATTGTAAAAAAGAAAAGGTATCAATTTGATTTTAAAACACAATAAAAAAGAAAATGTGTACTATTTTTACAAATAAACATGGATACAACAGTTTTAAATAGTACAATAATAGTACAGTAACATATAAAAAGAAGAATCATGATGAAGTTGGGCATAGCCAGCATAGGAAGAGTGGTTTGCCATGTGAAAGCAAAAAAAAAAAAAAACAGTCAATGAAATGTCTTGTACTAATAAGCTGAGGAGACAAACCACCACAGTCATCCTAATAAACTGAGCAAATAATGTTCATAATGGAAATGATTAGCAAACTAAGAAAAGTGGCATCCTTGATATGATAAAATAATTTTTAAAGATCTATAGCAAACCTTAACAAATATTATATTTAATGTTGAAACTCTGAGATCAAAAACAAAACAAAACTATATTCTATTACTTCTAGTACTTAACATTTTGTTACAAATCCTGGATAGAGTAAGACAAGTAAAAGTATAAAAACCAAACAGAGAAGGAAATATTATTTATCAGTATTTATATACAGGAAATCTAAAACAATATACAGGAAAATTATAAAAATTAATGGGAATGTAACAAGCTCTTTGTATATAACGGTCAGCATAGAAAAAGTCAACTGTTTCTATTAATATTTCATTAACATATTAGAAAATACCATTTTACTAAATATAAATGAAATACAAGAGTATTTATACCCTTTACAAAACAATAAGCATTAATGAGGAACATTAACCTTAGCAAGTAGAAAGTCATGTTCATAGACTTAACACCTCTAAATTCAATAAATTCCAATTTTTAAAACCCACATATATTTTTATAGTACTTGACAAGTAATTCCAAAATTTACATAGTGTTAGGTTTGGTGATGCACTTGGGAAATAAAGGCAAAAAAATTATGAGTTCAAGGCCAGCCTGGGCTGTATATCTAAACAAAAATAGAATAGCATAAGACAAAATTTACATAGTAACCTGAAGACAAGATCTTATGCAAAAAAGAACAAGGTGATTTGTCTGGATGTTTAGACATCATAAAAGTAATGTAAAAGATGAAGAGATTAAGAAAAGATCAGGCATAATTTAAGTGCAATCAATTTGAGTGCTTAAAATTACTTCTGTTGCCCTAATGGCAAAAACAATCCTTAGCAGAAAGAATAGTGCTGGAGGAATATCAATACCAGACTTCAAACTACTATAAAGCCATAGTAATCAAAACAGCTTAGTACTGGCACAAGAACAGACCTGAAGACCAATGGACTAGAACTAAAGACACAGAAATGAACCCACAGACCAATAGCCACCTAATCTTCAATAAGGGAGCTAAAAAAATAGAATGGAAGAAAGACAGCCTCTTCAGTAAATGGTGCTGGCAAAATTGCTTAAACACCTGTAGAAAACTAAAGCTAGATTCTTATATATCACCCTACACCAGAATCAACTCCAAATGGATCAAAGACTTCAAAGTAAAAGCTGACACCCTGAGAAGATTACAGGAAGGAATAGAAGAAACTCGAGGGTTCCTTGGGACAGGCTGAAATTTTCTTAATAGAGACCCAGAAACAGAACATATCAAAAAAAGGTTGGACAAATGGGAGTGCATGAAACAAAAGAGCTTCTGTCCTTCTGCAAAGGATATAGCTAGCAAAATCAATAGAAAGCCCATGGATTGGGAGAAGATCTTCACTAGCCATACAATGGACAAGGGCCTCATATCTAAAATATACTTAGAACTCAAAACTTAAATACCCCAACAACAAATCCTCAAAGAAACTACTGCCCAATTAATAAATGGACTAAAGGCTTAAAGAGAGACTTCTCTGAAGAGGAAATAAGAATGGCCAGTAGACACATGAAGAAAGGCTAGACTTCTCTAGCCATAAAAGAAATGCAAATCAAAACAACATTGAGATTCCACCTCACCCCAGTTAGAATGGCTATAAGCAAGAAATCGAACAACAACAGATGCTAGAGGGGATGTGGCCAGAAGGGGAACCCTACTGTATTGTTGGTGGGAGTATAAACTTGTTCAACTACTTTGGAAAGCAGTATGGAGGTTGCTCAAAAGACTCCACACAGAGCTCCCCTATGACCCAGCAATCCCACTTTTAGGCATTTACCCGAACGATCACTAACAAAGCCATACTAAAGCTATCAGCACAACTATGTTTATCACAGTATTATTTACCATAGCTAAGATATGGAACCAACTCCGATCAATGCCCCTCAGTAGATGAATGGATCAAGAAAATGTGTTGTATATATAGGAATTCTATGCCTCCATCAGAAAGAATGACACTGCCCCATTTGTTAGGAAATGGAAAGACTTGGGAAAATTATATTAAGTGAAGTAAGCCAGACCCAAAGAAACATAGGTCCCATGGTTTCCCTTATCTGCAATGACTAGACATATGTCTAGGACAAGCAGGAGAGGTCAAAAGCTATGTACATATGACCATATAACCTAATGCTAAGCAAAATGAACCCCAAGATAGGGATACAAGAGGTTTTATCTTTGTTAATATTTTTAATGTATTTATAATGTACTATGTGATTTTTTTTGTTTCTTTTGTATGTTCTTTCCCCATGGTACAATCCCTGTTGCCACTGTATTTGATTCCGGTATCCTGAATCTTGTATACATTTTTCTAATTTGGGGAAGGGAAGGGAAATAACAAAATGCTGAAATAAGGATATAAGATGCCCCATTGTTACAATGAGATATACAAGCCAGTATGTTGAAAACAAACTTCACAACTTTGGGAGGGAGGGGGAGTTGGGGAGGAAAGGGATGGTAGGAGGAAAACAAAGAAGGGGGTAACAATGTTCAATAGGAAATGACTCATTACCTTGCTCATGTAACTGTAACCCCTCTGTACAGTATCTTTACAATAAAAAATGTATTTTTAAAAAATTAAAAAAATTACTTCTCTTCCCACTATCCCTTGGAAGAACAACAGAGAGGCGGTAAAAATCCTCGACAAAAAATGTACTCATTCCCTTATTGATGTAACTGTAACCCTTCTGTACAACATCTTTACAATAAAATTTTAAAAAATGGGTTTATTTTTAAAATATGGATATCTCACGCACAGTTTAATTACATTCAAGTTTCTGGGTCTTCTCCTGAAGTGTTGACACTAGGCCATGGAAGATGTTATCACAATCAAGTACCATCAAATCTTAGAGCTTTAAAACAATGTAAATGTAAGGTCTGTCTATTCAGAAAATTGAACATCAAGTTGTTAGTTGTGGTGCTTCTGATGGTTCTTGGGTAGAAACTTTTTATTCTAATGTTTTCCCTTTGCTATGAATATTGCCATTCCTTGTCTTGTAAATACATCACTTCACAGACATGTCTTTATACTGTCCTTTTTCTGTGCTGCCTCTGATACGTAAATTTCCCTTTTTTATAAGGTTAGAAGGTATATTGGATAATGGCCCAACCTAGTGCTCTCTCTTTATCTTGACTACTTCTCTGAAAACTTTGTTTCCAGTAAAGTCTGAAAACTTTGTATCCAGTAAAGTCATGATTGAGGCACTTCAGACCTTACTTCAACCTATCTTTATTTAGTGGGGGACACCAATCATCATAAAAGAGCTTGCAAAAAATGGTCATGGGGACTTATACTGCTGTGTGCTGTTTTTCTGAGTCATTGCTTCTCTGGAGCAGATTTTTGTCTTATAAAATTTCAATTTTTTTTAAGTAACTGTGATAGAATTTAGTAAATTTGGATTCCAAGAATTATACTGTGGGTCAATGACTGCTTAAGAGAGGTTCATTTCTCTTTTTTTTTTTTACATTTTTTTATTATTGTATCTTTAAGTAGTTATACGAAGAAGTTCCCATTCTACAAAATAGTGTATGAGAACAAGGTGTCTGACAACATTATCACCCATCGCTCCTAACCATCATCTCACTTTTTTTTAACTGAGATTAGGTGGTTACATAAATTTCACATATTTCACAGTATTATGGACTAGTGATACTTAAAGTCACAAACACAAATAAAATAAAATTTTTTTTAAAAATTACTTCTGTTCCTAAAAAGAGCACTAGTTACAAAGAAAAAAGGAGGTCACAAATCTAGGCAAGATAATAGAAATGTCATATGACTATAACACATCCCTAGTGAATTCATTTAAATTCATTTTTTAAGCTATTAGAAAAATAAGCAAGAGAGCTTAACAAGCAATCCATATTTTAAAAGTTGTATTGTGTTGTCGCTTGAACAAAATTTCAGGACAGTATATTGAGTATGGGCAATGAATACAAATATAATACAAGCAAATCTATTTTTCAGCTATACAGCATGATAGATCTAGTTCATACCTTTCTGGCTGTTGTATAAAATTCTAACATTGTTTCACCTTCC